AAAGACAATCAGTCTTTACATGGCTAAAAGAAAAGGAATATAACATAAACAGTACTGTTTACAGGAAACTCACTCTACATCTTTAGATGAAGTTGCGTGGAAAAAGGAATGGGGCGGTGAAATAATTTTCTGTCATGGAAAAAGGAACTGAAAAGGTGTGATGATACTAATTAACAAAAATGTCGATCCAAATGTGCAAACAGTCAGGAAGGATCCGAAAGGAAGATCCTTTTGAATATGAAAGTGGATGATTTGGCTGATTAAGCTATATGGTCCAAATCAGGATGATCCACCTTTCTTCCAAAAGATTTATACCAATATATTGAACTTACAGGCAACAAACGATCAAATAATTATGGTGGGAGACTATAACACAGTGTTAAGTACCTCAATGGACCGTAAAGGAAATCACTCTACAAACTATCATCCTCGTGCCCTTAAGGAGATCACAAATATCATGGACACATTAGAAATAGCGAATATTTGGAGACTAAACAAATATACAGTGAGGGAAAAAAGTATTTGATCCCCTGCTGATTTTGTACGTTTTCCCACTGACAAAGACATGATCAGTCTATGATTTTAATGGTATGTTTATTTGAACAGTGAGAGACAGAATAACAACAACAAAATCCAGAAAAACGCATGTCAAAAATGTTATAAATTGATTTGCATTTTAATGAGGGAAATAAGTATTTGACCCCTCTTCAAAACATGACTTAGTACTTGGTGGCAAAACCCTTGTTGGCAATCACAGAGGTCAGATGTTTCTTGTAGTTGGCCACCAGGTTTGCAGACATCTCAGGAGGGATTCTGCTCCACTCCTCTTTGCAGATCTTCTCCAAGTCATTAAGGTTTCGAGGCTGACGTTTGGCAACTCGAACCTTCAACTCCCTCCACAGATTTTCAATGGGATTAAGGTCTGGAGACTGGCTAGGCCACTCCAGGACCTTAATGTGCTTCTTCTTGAGCCACTCCTTTGTTGCCTTGGCCGTGTGTTTTGGGTCATTGTCATGCTGGAATACCCATCCACGACCCATTTTCAATGGCCTGGCTGAGGGAAGGATGTTCTCACTCAAGATTTGACTGTACATGGCCCCGTCCATCGTCCCTTTGATGCGGTGAAGTTGTCCTGTCCCCTTAGCAGAAAAACACCCCCAAAGCATAACGTTTCCACCTCCATGTTTGACGGTGGGGATGGTGTTCTTGTGGTCATAGGCAGCATTCCTCCTCCTCCAAACACGGCGAGTTGAGATGATGCCAAAGAGCTCGATTTTGGTCTCATCTGACCACAACACTTTCACCCAGTTCTCCTATGAATCATTCAGATGTTCATTGGCAAACTTCAGACGGGCCTGTATATGTGCTTTCTTGAGCAGGGGGACCTTGCGGGCGCTGCAGGATTTCAGTCCTTCACGGCGTAGTGTGTTACCAATTGTTTTCTTGGTGACTATGGTCCCAGCTGCCTTGAGATCATTGACAAGATCCTCCCGTGTAGTTTGACAAGATTCCTCACCGTTCTCATGATCATTGCAACTCCACGAGGTGAGATCTTGCATGGAGCCCCAGGCCGAGGGAGATTGACAGGTCTTTTGTTTTTTCTTCCATTTGCGAATAATCGCACCAACTGTTGTCACCTTCTCACCAAGCTGCTTGCCGATGGTCTTGTAGCCCATTCCAGCCTTGTGTAGGTCTACAATCTTGTCCCTGACATCCTTGGAGAGCTCTTTGGTCTTGGCCATGGTGGAGAGTTTGGAATCTGATTGATTGATTGCTTCTGTGGACAGGTGTCTTTTATACAGGTAACAAGCTGAGATTAGGAGCACTCCCTTTAAGAGTGTGCTGCTAATCTCAGCTCGTTACCTGTATAAAAGACACCTGGGAGCCAGAAATCTTTCTGATTGAGAGGGGGTCAAATACTTATTTCCCTCATTAAAATGCAAATCAATTTATAACATTTTTGACATGCGTTTTTCTGTTTTTGTTGTTGTTATTCTGTCTCTCACTGTTCAAAAAAACCTAACATTAAAATTATAGACTGATCATTTCTTTGTCAGTGGGCAAATGTACAAAATCAGCAGGGGATCAAATACTTTTTTCCCTCACTGTACATGGAGAAGACTTAATAAAGGTAGTCTTCTTGACTGCTTTCTTGTCTGTTTCTCTCTTGCATCAAAGGTTAAAAAAGTATTGAAAGGAGACAGAATGCAGATGTTTTATTTTCCATCTCCTCCTCACCCTCTAAATGACGATAACTGTAAGGAATTCTTTCCAAGTAATAAAACAATTAGAACATTTAACAAATACACAAAAAGATCACTGCGAAGGCCAAATGACAGAGGAATAACTTTTTGAGGTTATTAAATCCTTTCAGTCTGGAGAAACCCCAGGGCTTGATGGCATATACTGGAGGCATCTTACACTTCAATGTTGTGATGCAAAAATCTAGCAAAATGCATAGCACTCACAACTAAAAAGGTTTTACCAGGTATTGTTCATCGTGATCAGACAGGTTTTTACATGGACGATACGTTGGAGACAATATACGACATTGTAATTATTTTGCACTATAGCCTATTTATTGCCTTACCTTCATAACTTGCTACATTTGCACACACTGTATATATATTTTCTGTTGTACTTTTTGACTTTATGTTTTTTTTTACCCCATATGTAACTCTGTGTTGTTGTTTTTATCGCACTGCTTTGCTTTTGTCACGGAATCTGCCGAGGCTGCTCCTCCTCCTTGTTCGGGCAGGTTTCGGCGGTCGTCGTCCCTGGAGTACTAGCTGCCACCGTTGTATGTTTCTATGTTCATTTGCTTTTGTCTGATTGTTGTACACCTGTGGTTAGTTAGCGTTGATTATGTGTCCTATAAGTTCTCGCTTTGTTAGTCATGTGTTGTGTGTTATTGTGTGCTACGTGTCGGTATTGGTTTTCCCTCCTTGTGTGTTAGGAGAGGTTTTCGCACTTTCTGTGCGCTTATGTATTTTTTCCTGTTTGTTTACGCCTGTGTGCGTATCGCTCGTCTCCGAGCACTTGTGCTCGTATTTCACCACTAAAGACTGTTGTACGAAGCTTCTGTGTCCTGCGCCTGATTCCCGCACCTTCCACATACAGCACACCTTGACAGCTTTATCTTGGCCAGGTCGCAGTTGTAAATGAGAACTTGTTCTCAACTGGCTTACCTGGTTAAATAAAGGTGAAATAAAAAAATAAAAAAAATAAACATGAAACATCTAAGAAGGCCTGGTATTCATAGCGGATTTTCAAAAGGCCTTCTCAAGTAGATTACTAAGAAAATATCATCACTTGTTTAAAAATGGCCTTTTTGCCTTTGTGCAGAAATGAAATGAAACCTTGTTCAAAGTATTTCTCTTTTCAAACAAGCAATGCAGAGCTAGTTACAATTTCAATTTAATCCCACAGAAAAGATAGAACAAATATTACAATAAATGTTATAGTTGAACTCAAATGTGCTGGTTGATAAAATACCTGTATTTATGGAAAATATGTTTGAGAAGGGTATTTTGTTTTTAAATAATATTGTATGTCTTTCATGGAGCTATCCGAATTGTATGGGAAGGTATGCTCAATCCAAGATTACAACCAATTGATTACAGCATTACCCCAAAAATGGAGGAGGCAGTTGGTAGCAGGAGGAGGTAGGGAACTGGTCTGTCTGCCCAATATAAAGGATCAATACTTGCGGAGAAACAAAAATAGCATAAATAGGAATATAACCCTGTTTCATTTGGGGACCAGGATGTTGACCGCTGTGCCATACAGATTGAAAAATAGCTGGGAAGAGATTTTTGATCTACCAATTCCATGGCACAGGGTGCATGAGTTGATATATAAAATAATACAAGATTCAAGACTTCATGCTTATCAGTAAAAATTATGCCACCAACAAAATATTCAATATTTGGGGCATACAACCTCTCCAGATTTTGTTGCGAGGATACAGAATCAATAGACCATTTGTTCTCATATTGCCCTCAGTTAGCCTGTTTCTTGTTTCAGTTCAGGTATGGCTGAAAAAACATAACATTAATCTAAAATTGACCCCAGAAATAGCATTGTTGGGAGATTGGAGAGACCTGATCAGTCAATTACTAATATACTAATACTCTTAGGGGGGGGGGGGGTGAGGAGTGGAAGGGGAGTTTTTTTCAGGGGGGGGTACTGTGGGGGGTCTTGGATGGTTGAGGGGCAGCTCTCGGGGGGAACTGTGGGGGGATCTTGGATGGTTGGTGGCCTGGCGGTTGGGAGCTAGGGCCGGTGGCCGAGAGGTCTGGGTGGGGGATCTGTCCTTATGCCCTTGGGCAGGGTGCTTGACCCTGGTTGCTCCTGTGGGTCGCTCTGGATGGGAGTGTCTGCTGGATGACTGAATGTAATGTAAATGTTGAGCAGCTTCACTGCAGGTAGATAGTATGTAAAAAAAAAAAAAAATTGACGTTAATCCATAATTTAATCCATAATCCATAATTCCACGTAGCTATCAGTAGAGTCAGAGTTAGAAGGGGGGGTGGGGGGGGGGGGGGGGGGGGGGGGGGGTCTAGTATTTTATATTTTCCAGCCATTACTATGAACCATGTTCTCCCCAATTAAGATGCCACCGGCCGCTTGTGATTAGAAGTCTAATATAGGATGTGGAGTATGAAATAAAAATGCAAATATAAAATGTGTTCCCACTACAACAAACTGTGTTAGGCCTTGATCTTTACAACACTTACATTTCTCCTCCCAATGCACGGTATGGCTTCATTAAACTGTGTGTGTGTGTGTGTGCGCATGTGTGGGTTTCTGTTGTAGCTTCATTAAACAGATAATATAGTGAGTTTATATTTAGCCACAGTCACATTAGACGCTAGTGATGTGTAACAAGACAAACACTGGGGTTACACAGTGTGTCTGTGTCTGTTAACTTTTTGTGCTCATAATTTTCTCTCTCTCTCTGCCTCTCTCTCTTTCTCTATCCAACCCATCTCCCAGACTCTTCTCTGTCCAAGGCCAGCCCCTGTTCAGAGCCAGGGAAACCCTGTAACCCATGTCTCGATGCAGCCAAGGCCTGCAACCTCAATGAAACCTGCAAGAGACAACGCTCCAATTACATCGCTATCTGCAACAAGCCCTCTCAGCCCTCACTGGCCAACCAGGAGCCTTGCAGCCGCAAACGATGTCACAAGGTGGGTGGTGGTTGGACCTGTCACAAATGACATCCTATTCCCTAGTAATACACTACTTCTGACCAGAGCCCCATCACATAGTGGATGATGATGATGATGACAATAATGATATTATTATGTTGTGTTCCCAGGCGCTGCGTCAGTTCTTTGAGCGTGTGCAGTGGGAGCTGAGTTACCCCCTGTTGTTCTGCTCGTGTCCGGACCAGGCCTGTGCTGAGAGACGTAGACAGACCATTGTACCTGCCTGTTCCCACCAGGAGAAACACAGACCCTCCTGTCTAGAGCTACGACGCACCTGCCGCTCCGACGCACTCTGCAGGTAAACAGACCCAGACAGACACACACACACAAACACACATACACTTCTACAAAACGCACACTCAAGTGTACACGCGTATTTGCACACGCATGCACAAACATAATTCCAAACACACTCAAGTGTGCACGCTCATCGATGCATGAACACACAAACAAACACATACACATACATATACACACCCACACCTGAGCACTGGGATCCGAATATTTTGACTGCCTCATGCATTTAATTTCCTCTCTGCCTCCTACATAATGTCAAAAATAACCCAGCGGTGTGTGGATCTGTTTGGGTGGTTTGGTGTGTGTGTGTGTACTGAAAGGCTTTCAGGGCGATTTAAAGAGTGAGAGAGAGAAAGAGAGCGAGCAAAGATGGAACGAGAAAGAAAAGAGAGAGCAGAGAAAGAGAGAGAAAGAAAGAGAGAGCGGTAGAGAGATTAAGAGAAGAGTTAGAGATGGTAACGGGTGTAACTTGGGGCAACCTCTGAGTTGGATGCTAATTGCAACAGGCAGCAAGGAACTCATTAGCTATGCAAATATGGTAAATATGTAAATGAGCAGTCCCAGTGAGGGACGATTAATTAAAGAGAAAGTTTAGACAAAACAGTCTAATTATAACCAAAAACAGACACAAACATACCCACGCACATACAGTGGGGAGAACAAGTATTTGATACACTGCCGATTTTGCAGGTTTTCCTACTTACAAAGCATGTAGAGATCTGTAATTTGTATCATAGGTACACTTCAACTGTGAGAGACGGAATCTAAAACAAAAATCCAGAAAATCACATTGTATGATTTTTAAGTAATTCATTTACACACTCATATCTCCTCTCCCTTCCTCTCTTCTCCTCTCCTCTCCTCATGTAAAATATAGGTACAAGTTGTTTAAATGGGAGTTTAGGCTATTTCTGACTAGATTATGTTTTCAAGGTCAGCAGTGTCAGTTATGCATTTATATGTTATTATAATTCCACTGTATATTGTGTGTGTGTGTGTGTGTATTTGTGTGGATATGTGTGTGTATGTTTTTTTTGCCTCTGCTAATGTAGATATTATAATAAGGTGTCTCCCATGGGATAACTGTGAGTCTGCTTTACTGTGACTGACAAGTCAGGGTCAGAGAGAGAGGGAAAGAGAGCGAGAGGAGCGAGAGCTGGGGAGGGTGAAAAAAAGAGAAGGATAGAAGGAGAGTGGAGAGAGAGTGTAGAGAGCAGGTGGGAGAAAGAGAGAGAGAGTGAGAGTGAGAGGGGGGAAATAGAGAGGAGAGAGAGTCCATGTCCTCATTAGATATGCATGCACATCACTTTAGCCAGCCAAGGTTGTTAGCTTATGAACACTAGAATACAGCACATAGCAGCTAACTGTCACGCTGAATGTCTGTCTTGTATATCTTTTTGTGCCCAACAGTTAATGTTCATGATGGGGGGGGTTACAGGTACAAAAACAATAAAGGAAATGCATACAAAGATAATCCCAACCCATCATGAACATTAACTGTCTTCTTGGTAAGCAACTCCAGTGTAGATTTGGCCTCGTGTTTTAGGTTATTGTCCTGCTGAAAGGTGAATTCATCTCCCAGTGTCTGGTGGAAAGCAAACTGAGCCAGGTTTTCCACTAGGATTTTGCCTGTGCCTACCCCATTCCATTTATTTTTTATCCTGAACATGATGCAGCCACCACTATGCTTTAAAATATGGAGAGTGGTACTCAGTAATGTGTTGTATTGTATTTTCCCCAAACATAACACTTTGTATTCAGGACAAAAAGTTAATTGCTTTTCCACATTTTTTGCAGTATTATTTTAGTGCTGTGTTGCAAACAGGATGTTCTGTACAGGCTTCCTTCTTTTCATTCTGTCATTTAGGTTAGTATTGTGGAGTGACTACAATGTTGTTGATCCATCCTCAGTTCTCCTATCAAAACTATTAAACTCTGTAACTGTTTTATTAAAGTCATCATTGGCCTCATTTTGAAATCCCTGAGCGGTTTCCTTCCTCTCCGGCAACTGAGTTAGGAAGGACGCCTGTATCTTTGTAGTGACTGGGTGTATTGATACACCATCCAAAGTGTAATTAATAACTTCACTATGCTCAATAGGATATTCAATATCTGCTTTTGTAACACATTTACCAATAGGTGCCCTTCTTTGCGAGGCATTGGAAAACCTCCCTGGTTTTTGTGGTTGAATCTGTGTTTGAAATTCATTGCTCGACTGAGAGACCTTAGAGATAATCGTATGTGTGGGGTAAAGAGATGAGGTAGTCATTTAAAAATCATGTTAAACACTATTATTGCAACACAGAGTGAGTCCATGCAACTTATCAGGTGACTTGTTAAGCAAATATTTATTCCTGAACTTATTTAGACTTGCCATACCAATGGGGTTGAATACTTATTGACTCAAGACATTTCAGCTTTTCATTTTAAATAATTTGTTTAAAAAAATCTGAAAAACAAAATTCCACTTTGACATTATCTGGTATTGTGTGTTGGCCAGTGACAAAAACATCTAAGTTTAATCAATTTTTAATTCAGGCTGTAACAAAAAATGTGGAACAAAGTAAGCGGTGGGAATACTTTCTGAAGGCAGTGTATATACAGTATGTGACCGACCTGCTCGAATCGGGTCTTATGTAGCAACATTTGAAATTGTGTTTTTTACACTGGATACAAGTAGAGACTCAGAGCTAGAAAATGGTATATCATACACTACAGTTGAAGAACAATGGGAAAGTAATTCTGCTTTCAAAGTTCATAAACTTGTAACCTCACTTTTGAGGAAATGGCCTTTGAATGTTTTGGTACACCTACTGGAGAGCTCTTCTTTGTCTACACCCGGTCAGCATCGTTCACACCCTGTCACGAGTGTCAGTGTAATGCGGTGGATTGAAGTCTGGCAATGTGATTTTCTGGATTTTTGTTTTAGATTCCGTCTCTCACAGTTGAAGTGTACCTATGATAAAAATTACAGACCTCTACATGCTTTGTAAGTAGGAAAACTTGCAAAATCAGCAGTGTATCAAATACTTGTTCTCCCCACTGTATATGCAGAAGGTAGCTCTATTTTGGTGCCTCTTGATTCCATTTGAAATACACAACATAAGTATTTAGTATTTTATCGAGTTCACCTCCCAGAATGAAAAAAAGTGTTGTGGTATTGCGTAGAAAGACACAAATGACTGAAAATGTATGAATTCAGTGTATAGTGTTAGTTCTTTTGGATATTGTCTAGTTCTAGGTCTACAGTGCCTTCAGAAAGTATTCACAGCCCTTGACTTTTTCCACATTTTGTTGTGTTACAGCCTGAATTTAAAATAGATTAAATTGAGATTTTGTGTCACTGGCCTACACACAATACCACATAATGTCACAGTGGAATTATGTTTTTTGATTTTTGTAACAAATTCATAAAAAATTAAAAGCTGAAATGTCTTGAGTCAATAAGTATTCAACCCCTTTGTTATGACAAACCTAAATCGGTTCAGGAGTAAAAATGTGCTTAACAAGTCACATAATAAGTTGCATAGACTCACTCTGTGTGCAATAACAGTGCTTAACATCATTATTGAATGACTACCTCATCTCTGTACCCTCAGTCCCTCAGTTGAGCAGTGAATTTCAAACACAGATTCAACTACAAAGACCAGGGAGGTTTTCCAGTGTCTCGCAAAGAAGGGCACCTATTGGTAGATGGGTAAAAACAGCAGACATTGAATATCCCTTCGAGCATGGCGAAGTTGTTCATTACACTTTGGATGGTGTATCAATACACCCAGTCACTACAAAGATACAGGCGTCCTTCCTAACTCAGTTGCCTGAGAGGATGGAAACCGCTCAGGGATTTAACCATGAGGCCAATGGTGACTTTAATAAAACAGTTACAGAGTGAAATGGTTGTGATAGAAGAACTGAAGATGGATCAACGACATTGTAGTTACTCCACAATACTAACCTAAATGACAGAATGAAAAGAAGGAAGCCTGTACAGAACAAAAATATTCCACAACATGCATCCTGTTTGCAATAAGGCACTAAAGTAAAACTGAAAACAAATGTGGCAAAGAAATTAACTTTATGTCCTAAATACAGAGCATTATGTTTAGGGCAAATCCAACAAAACACATCACTGAGTACCACACTTCATATTTTAAAGCATAATAATTTATTATTTTCTTAACTCTTTCTTGAACTGCATTGTTGGTTAAGGGCTTGTAAGCATTTCACAGTAAGGTCTACACCTGTTGTATTCAGTGCATGTGACAAATAAAGTTTGCAAGGTAAGAATAGGCTACTTTGTAGTTAACATTTAATTGAGAAGGTTTTTGGAAAGCCTTCCCATCTACCAGAAGACTGTTTTCATTAGCATCATCGATAACGGCTACACAAAGTGGTAGACGCACGCAGAGACAGGGGCATTCTCGTTGCCTCTTCAGAATGTTGCAGGAAATATGAATCACTGATTCATTCTGTTCATGTCTTATGATACATTTGGGAAAATTAATACATTTTCAATACATTTACAGTAGTTGATTCCCTAATAAGATCAATACATTTTTGAATATTGTTGAATTTCGTTTTAATGCCTGGATTCAGTGAGGGCCCTATTTATTATATTTGGACCAGAATGAGTCTCTCCACACCTATTGTTCCTGCAGTGATGATTCACCATCTTCATCGAATGTTTTCAGAATTTATCCGAAGATAATCGCCAAAAAGGCCTACTAGTAGGCTATGCAAATTAGGGAGCAAAATGAACGGCTCTCTCACCGATGCGATTCGGTAGGCTGGCTGACGAGACGAGAGTCACTCACTTTAGCGTCACTGTCTGGCAAGCCCCAACATCCTACGAAAGGAAACCTTGGAAATCCTTTGGTTTAGGCTACTTGTCCCAATGCTATACCATGGACATATAACCACATTGCATGATTTAAGAATGGCAAAGGGATATAGGAGATCGACTTTATTCAGTCAGTTCGACACCTTTTATAAACTAGTCAACACT